CTGTTGCACATGGTTTTGAACAAAGCCCAACAAACAAGCCAAGCATTTGGAAGGGTTCCATCCATTTTGATGGAACCACGCAAAAGGTCGGTGCATTCCTGGCAGGCTTGTAAGTCTCACAAGCATCGATGTGCATAGCAATCGGCGGTATGGCTACGGATTGCCCCGACTACAACTGCCGGAATCTGCTCGTGCGACCACAGGTATTCTGGAACAACCATGTCCTATAAGTAGCACCTATGAAGGTTTGATCAGACAAGAGAAGCTTGGCCCTCCGGTAGGGAGGCTAACAACAAGTCCGTGGCTTAGGATCTCCCTAAAGAAAACCTCGCCATCGCCCCCACCCAAACCTTCCCAAAACCAACAAACCCCCAAGTCGAAGATCGCCTTCTTGGGGGGCGCCACGCTCATCCCGCCGAAGATGACGTTCATGATGTCTCGATTCATGGCATCCTGAAGTCGATCCCTCAGGCTTGTGGACACAAGCTAAGGGATTTCCCGCCAGGGGAACCACAGGGCCATTGGCCAATTGAAAGCCATCCAACCGCTGTCCGACGCTTTTTGAACACCTCCGAAATCCATTTTTTGGTACATTCCCATAACTCACGCCTGCGGATGCCACGACGGTACGGTCAAGAACCTCTGAGTACTCCAAAGGGAGAGATGACTTGCTTGCCAGAAAGGCACTAAATCAGGCCACTGAATTGCGTATGGGCAGTTAGGACGAAACCTGGCTGGCTCAAACCAGAAGCAAACTGGGCCGGGTATTGACTTGCATCTCAGCTCTGCACGCACATGATCTTCGTCAAAATGGCTCCTCGGACGGCAAGTCTCAACCCCCTTGAGCGCACCGCGCGTTCTCGAGCCTAAGGGGTCATATTTCCTTGGCATAAGGGAGGCGTTGTAAACATGGCTTTGGATGTTGTGGGAAAGAACCGGTTGATTCTCATCACATATGAACAGGCGAACCAACCACATGCAACCGCAAAACTCTGGCAAATTGATTTGCACAACCCGGGCTGGCCAACACACCAAAATGCCTTGAAACTTGTCTGATTTTGTGATATTTTGTGGCTGGCCAGTGGCATGAACATCAACTGGCCATCAAGCACAAGGATGTCCAAAAAGCCCATCTGGTGCATTGACAATGTTGCAAATTCCGGTGGCAAGATCCTTGGCCTGCTCAAGTGCCCGGAATGTCAAACCAGACCCGTAAGAGTCAGGTTGAGCTCCCTCTGCAAAACATCGCTGGGAACGGGCAGACCAAAAACCGGCAAACCAGGAGAACCATTGTTCGGCTTCCGGCCCGACGAGGGGCAACTTGAGCGCTGTGGCTGCAAGAACCGAACTCGCTGCAAACCGCGATCAACCTAGTTTGCAGCTTTGCCCTAATTTGGTGTGCTGGCATTTTCCCTAGTTGGTGTTGTTGGAGGCAAAAACAAAGCCAACATGAAGGGCCGTCTGAAGGCAACACAATAGAACTCGCAAGATGAAGTTTGGAACATGCCCATAGCGTTCGACTGGGTCCAATGGACCAAAGGCGTTGAGGGGGCCAACCTTCACTCATTGCTGGGCCATGCGGCCATGGAACGCTGTAGCTGCCCGGCAGAAGTCAAGGAGTCCCCCCACCCCGAGGTGAACACCCGTACCCACTCCATATAAGCAAAGACAGTTGCAAAAGTGACCTTAGGGCCACTTTGGAGGATAGACATGGATAGAATCTTTGATTGGCAGTTGATGGCCCCAACTGAAGGGCAACTGAAACTTACTCCAATGGATAGAAATGCATCTCTACTCTTGGTATGGTAGCAAAATGAACAGAACCAAAAAACAAAAAATGCCAAGAACAGTGAAGAAATGGATAGAAACAACGGCCACGGGACTGGCAGCACCTGACTCGAGTCACTACCAAGTCGCCGCTGAAGCCGATGAGGGAGCCCACCACCGTCAGGGTGGGGCTGTTCAGCAGCATGCCCTCAGCCACCAAGGCCCAACCGGAGTAGGAGTTCCTCGGGGCGAACCGTGACAAACGTAGCCGATGCGCAGGGCTTCCAGGCAACTCAATCCCGCCCCCCGCCACCCCCCCCCCCCCGGACCCTTTTTTGCGTGGGTGTTCAAAGCACCACCCAAGCACACTGGCCTGGCTCCCCGTCGGGTTTTGGAGCAACAGATATGCGGAGCTTCCCCTTTGTGCTGGTTGTCAACTCACGGGCGCCAAGCTTCTGCTTGAGGCAATCCCGGCAGTTTCTTGTTCTTGGGTATGGGCTGTGATTTGCAGTCTCGCGTTCCCCCAATTTCTCTGCTAGTCTCCGGTGCAATCCAATTTGCCCCAAAGCCGCAACGCATGTGCCTCTCCCTTCGAACCGTAGGCCTTGATGTCTGAGTCGCAGAAGATCCAAGCTCGCATCGTTTAGAGAAAACAACGCAAAAAGGAAATTTCCTTAAGCCCATGGGGTACAAGCAGTGCGGCATTTCTCCGTTCAATTAGCCATCTCAGTCATTGCAGCATAGCACATTTCCCCAAATCCAGGGTACTTGTGTTTCTCCCATGCGAGCCTTGCACGTGCCCGAAGCTGAGCAACTTTGGGGAACTCAACTTAAGAAACCTGCGAGGCGATTCGGCGATCTCGAACTGTCAACAGGAAGCAGAAGATGTCCGTTGTCTAAGGCTAGGAACCCTCTGTTGAATGTTGCTTAGAAGGAACCCGGTACCGCATATGAAAGCTCTAAACAGGAAGCAAACCAGAACATACTCAAACAGCTAAGGACCCAAAGCATAGGACACAAAGCGAAGCGAACAAAATACAATTGGCCATATTGCGAGACGAGCATCAACTATCCCCAGCAAAAGAAAAAGAGAAGAAAAAAACGCCGCCGAGCCGCAGCACGGTGATGCAGCAAGGCATATCGCCTCCTCCCACGCTGCCCACCAAGTGCACGCCCATGGCGGAGGACAACGCCGTGGTGCTGTACCTCGAAAACCGAAGTCAGCTCAACCCCAATTCGATTCCCTCGCAAACCCATGCCTCAAAATCGGGAGTTGGCCTTTGCTTTGCTTTACATGCTTCTTCTTTCTTCTGGTTCACATTCGGGGAACTTCAAAACAAAAGTGCATTTCAACATCGGGATCGGATGTGTCTTGGAAACAGTTTCAGCACATTTCAGGAAACGTGATTGGGCGATCGTACCAGGCCAGAGAGGGAAAGAGGGAGAGCGGGAGGGAGGGAGGGAGAGAGGGAGAGAGGGAGAGCGGGAGGGAGGAAGGGAGAGAGGGAGAGAGGGAGAGAGGGAGAGAAGGAGAGAGGGAGACAGGGAGAGGCAGAGAGGGAGAGAGGAAGAGAGGAAGAGAGGGAGAGAGGGAGAGAGGCAAAGAGAGACAGAGAGAGACAGAGAGAGACAGAGAGAGACGGAAAGAGACAGAAAGAGACAGAAAGAGACAGAAAGAGGAAACACATTCACAGTGTGTAATGTCAATATAATGTCACCTCACCCTGACGAGGTACTTTGGATTGGTGGCTTGTGGATTTACATCGCAAGTTGCTCTTGGAAGCAAATGGAAAAGAAAGCCCAAACCTCCACAACGCCAATGCGAGGTATGGTGACGAATGCTGGAAAGTGTCTGGCCCATGTGGGTGGTTTGGAATGTGTAAACACATTAGGCAACGTTGGTTTGCGCAGTGTGTCAGAAAGAGAGAGGAGAGAGAGAGAGAGAGAGAGAGAGAGAGAGAGAGAGAGAGAGAGAGAGAGAGAGAGAGAGAGAGAGAGAGAGAGAGAGAGAGAGAGAGAGAGAGAGAGGGAGAGAGAGAGATTCTGAGAGAGATAGACAGCCTCCTGCACGAGAAAAGACAAAAGGAAACAAACGAGGCGCCAATTTACAAGCATGGTGCTATGCAAAGCAGATTGCTTGGCGCCGTAACCGAAGAATACATCAAACAAGAACATACCCAAACACGCAACACCCAACGCAACAAAGCCTGATACTCATAGATCAGCAACCTGTCACCTGTGACCATGGGTCACCTAAAGAAAGCGACCACTGGGTTCTTCACCGCATCTGCCAGGAGGGAGGCAGCTTTTTTTGTGACAGGAAGCGGGAGTGCCTTCATTTCCTTGCTGGTGCGATAGGTGGGGAATGCTCTTCCGGGTGTCGGGCAGGGATTCCCTTCAAGGAAACCATAAGGAGATGGTTTCTGTCGGGTCATTCCAACTCATTCCATGCCTGTCGAAACAACAAGTTTGCCACGGAGGGCCAACCCACCCTTCCTGCTGATCACAGAAAGCCGAACCAGCCAGTTTCCCTCCAACGCAAGACAAACCCCACCAGTTTTCCGGCAGATCGCTCCAAGCTCCAAACTCCCAACTCCCAAAACCCCTCGACCCCGCACCCCTCGACTCGAGGCATCCGAGAGGCATGAGCGCAGTGCCCAAGCCCGGGGAGCTGGATGCGCAGTACATGCCCAGCATGCCCACCCTCAGCTGGCTGTGAGGTAGAGGAATGACGAGTCCGGGATCAAGAACCAAAAAGGCGTCGAAGGCAGCCCTTTATGGCTTGGATGATCCCTCCTTCATCTGCACGGGTGAGCAAGTGGCTCACCTGACCTCGAGTCGCCCTTCGCCTTGCTGAAACTCGATAGAGGCTGCCAAGGGATATGACTCCGAAGGGCCCAACCCAGGGTTTCTGAGCGGGGGAAAGGCTTGGCCAAGCCTTGGGCTGTGACAGTGGACAAACCAGATCTTTCAAACCCAATCGGCAAACACCCCGTGATCCTGACACATCTCTGCAATGGAGTCTACCACCCCGTTCTTGGTTGCCTGTTCTGCTTGCAGGATTGCGCCCCAAGACTTCTACGCGCATTGCTCAACAAATCTCAGAAAGCAAACAGACCACGCTTGAGACCGTTTCGGTGCATCCAAAACCCAAGACTGACCTTCGGTCGCAATCTGCTCAGAGTCACACGCTTGCGGACTTTCACCCAAATGAGGGAGACCAAAGGATCAAACCACTTCATCAGCGCAGTAGCTCACATGGTAGCCTTGCTTGCCCTGTAGGGAAATTTGGGCTTCTATTGATGAACCGCCCGCCTTTCCGGGGCAAAGAAGGGGCTCGAAGATTCCCAGAACGTCGCTGGGCGAATTCGACTGGTCCATCCAAAGCCCGCCGTTCGGCTCCCATTTTCTCAACAAAACCGGTCAACGGCCACCTGAGGAGGGCAGGCCGCAACGGGAAATATGAACACAAACCCCGGCGACTCGGCGACCTGCCATTCGCAAACTGGGATTGTTCAAACTACTGGCAACTCAATATCAAAAGTGGGGTGTCCCATTTCAGTCAATGCCCCAGATGCACCAGAAAAAGGGGCCATCGCCGGGCTGTCAAGCCAAATGACCGATTCCTAAGACCTAAACCTCCGGTGCGCTTCCCTCGGGTACTAGGTACCGGGTGCCTCCGATCCATCCGCCAGGTGACTGCGAAGCCGCCATGCCCATGTTCAGCATGTTCCTGAGGCGCTTTTCGGGGCTGCCGGTTTGACCCTAAGATCAGCATTCAGGCCAGAAGTTTGGTGGCTTTGGCTTCAACGCACCGAACCAAGCCTGAGACCCAATGCAATGACCCATGGCGCGTGAGTCAGAATGAAAGGTCTGGTAAAGAAGTCGACCCAACGTCAAAAGAACTCCATCGGCCGCACCTTGGGTTGGCACTATCCAGTGGCTTCATCTACCAGGACTTTGAATGCCAGCTCAAGAGGCTTGTGCCGGTCAAGAGGCGAAATGGTTCTCCGGGCTAGGACATGGCAAACGCCTCAAGGCTGTACCATTGTTGTCACCCGCCCATATTACTTTTTGGGGGGACGTGTCTGAAAGGGAACCAACAGCAAGCCATCTGCAAATTGGTCGGGAGTTTTGATGCCAAGTTGGCAAGACTTGCGGCAGGGACTTCAACAGGCAATTTTGCCCATGCGAAAACCAACGAACATGTCCCGTCCGAAACGGTTTTCATTTGCCGCTAAAATGGTCTTCCTAAGAAGTTTCAAGTTCAGGAACTCGGGGAGTGAGTCTAACTAGGTCCTCCAGTAGAGACGTTAGAATAAGGGTACCTTTTTTCTGTAGTCTATTTTAGTAGGGGAAAACTCCCAAAAAATGTGAAAGGGCACTACTGAGGCACTTAGCTAACGTCTGGACTCAAGATGGAAAGACAAAACGGCCAGAACACGCGGATTGCGGAGCGCGGCACATCCCTCGCCCAATCTGCCAAGCTTCTTGTTGGGCAGGTTGAAGGGCTTCGAGCTGAGGTTTCCGTTCAGCTTGCCTTGGCGCAAAGTCAGCGGCTCATGCGGCTGCTCTGGCTGAGACTCTCAGAGAGCTCAGGTATCACACAAATCTGGACGAGTCTAGATGCCATCCTGAAGGGGAACCTCTGGGTATGGCTCACGATGCGTGTGTGCGCTGCCAAGCACAACAAAGCCAACCGAACATTTGATCTGCGGCGGTTTAGCCTCATGGAAGCAGCTTGCATTGCTCGCAGCTTGTCGGGACATATATGGATGTGTCTCATCAGAGCAAGGGAGGCATGATGGGTGGTTTCCACCTTCCGCTTGCTTTCCCTTCAAATCAACCCGAAACAGGGCACCTGTGGAAAAGAAAAACACAGAACGGAGCCACAATATGGCTACGTATTCGGAGTCGAGAGGATTGGGGGCCAATGCTCGCCTTCACATCGGCACACAAGCAACTCCAAAGCAATCCCCTTGCCATTGAGTAATGTGCCAGGACTAGGGCAGCCTTGGTCGTTGACATCTTTGCGAGTCATACCTCAAACAAGTTGCCCCAAAGAGTGCCTCTTGCGGGTTCTATCAGGGTGTCCACTGCTCCCACTCCCCGAAAGGGAACAGGGTAGATTTATACCACGAGCTTGTCACTGTACAAACATATGGAACAAATACGCCCAGGATTACGACCCACCATTTGGTCACTAGACAAATTTGTGGCAAAGAGAAAACGAAAACTAAGCTTCCCGTGCGAGTATGGCAGTGGAAGCTCTCTCAAGGTTGGCTGCTTGCCCCCCTCCTTGAAGCAAGGTACGGCCTTCTAAACCTGTTACCCTCTTCCAAGGGGCCCTTTATTTTCCCGTCAGAACAGCTGACAATATTACTGCAATAGGGGACTGCCCAACACGCTTAATCAATTCCAGAAGCCAAACCCAACAAAAGGCGTCCTATAGGACACCCAACTCTCTCTATTTCTTTTCGTCTGCCAGGGGGCCGAAGGCAACCAGACTGCCGGTCAAGGTGATGCCTGGCCCAAAGCTGACCCAGGCGCTCGTGTTTAAGGGATTCGGATGGATGGATGGAGCGCCTGGTCCCTCCCGCCATCGCAGTCGCCCCTCCGCAAGCGTCATCGGGCCAGCTCCGGTTGGAGGACAACATGCTTCTATCTTAGGGAAAGCATGGAGTTGGGCGCTATGCCCCCGTCAGGCCCGCCACCCGCACCCACCATGGCATG